GCGGCAGGAGGGGCCCTCTCTCAACCACAGGCAATCAGCAGTGGAAAACCACCAGCTGTGCTTTCTACACAGTCTCAGAGACCGACAGGGGCAGTTCTACCCTGTCCGGTAGGGTCACCATGGGTCTGCATGGACTCAATGGTAGTGTTTAAACAGGCGGCACCCACCACACCCCATCTCCCTACCAGCAACCCTGGTCTCCCCAACAGGAGTTTCTCCCTACCACTGTTTGACTGGATGGAGTCTTTGAGAGGATAAAAAGGAGAGAAAGAAAATCCACAACCTTGCTGAGTTACACCTCTGTGCTCAACCTCTGGGGTGATCCGAGTTCTGCTGCCTGGGGATCACCCATGACCTTAACCTGCCTGCCCTCTCCTCATGAAGGCCCATGGAGGCCCAGAGGCCATCTTTGTCTCCTGCTTCCCTCAGTCCCTGCCCCGCCCCCACCTGTTGCTCTCTCGCCAGCAAGAGGGTGTTTTTTCCCACACCTCGGGGGCTGCATCCCAGCCAGCGCCTCAGATGGGCTCTGCACTAGAGGAAGGGGCCCAGAGGAAGGGTGAAGTCGGATTTGGTGGGGAGGGGTCTTAGGAGAAAGGTGAAGATCATCCACAGAAGGCACAGGGTCGACCAGCAGCCCTTCCCCCGGCTCTGAAGACCTTCCATTTGCCGGACCCTTTTGTCTCTAGAACCTTCTATGTGTCCATCCTCACCTCATCCCCCTCCACTGCTGCTCAAGACACCCTTGCTAGGGTAATTGAACCTTAAAGTAGAAGGCACCTTAGAGATTGGCTAGTCCCGCCTCCCCTGACTTGACAGATAAGGAAACTGATTGTCTTGGGGTTCTCAAGGGGTTAGGTCCACATGGGGCGAACGTCTAGTTCCACTCGACGGACCTCCCTTCCCCCTTCCCTCTTCCCCTCTTTCTTTCTACTTTCTCTCCCTTAGACTCCCTCAGGTCCTCCTCTAGGAGGCAGGACGCCAGCGTCCAGGACATGAACGTGACAAGGAGAGAACACTGGGGTGGGTGGACAGGAGTCTGGCAGCAGGGGGTATGTGAAGAGAGGTGGCACAGGCAA